GTTTGTAACCTTCTCTCGGATGTCGAAGGAGGTTTATAACGCTTCATGGAATGCAAAATTTGTACTCCTCACGAACCATTTTATTTTTTTTCCTTAAATTTACGTTATGGATCTAGCTTAGACAGATTATCCTGGTAAATTTTGTGTAGGAGTTTGTTCCTTTTTTTCGACCTCAGGATTCCCTCCTGAAGGAAGGTTTATCCAAGAGCCATACTGGACGTTTTGGAAGGCTTTTGACGTCTTTGGGGTTCTTTTCGGAAATGTTACAAAGTTTTCTTTTCCTTCTCTAAATGGTGATAGACAAACACGATTTTCAAAGAGAATGACATTTAAAATTTAAATAAATAAAAAATTTCATATGCGTAAAAAAAACGTTACGTTTGGAAGAGCATTTGGATATCAAAAAAGCACACCAAATTTGATATTTGATACCAAACATTCCAAAGTTTTTGAATATCCAAATGGATCAAGAGAACCTGAAAGAATGAAGGATAAACTTTTTCAAGGAAACTCAAACAAGCTCTAGCAAAATCCCCTTAAATGTTCAAGGTGTCTCTATCATCTGTCATCATCCTCTTGAGCATTTATCAATATTAATTAATTTCCCCAATGACATTCCAGAATGGATCACTGAAGGTATTAAATAGCTACTACCAAAATCGAGTGAAACAGATGATCCAAAAACTTATAGGCCAATGACTGTCCACCACATATAAATTGAGCACGTCTGTCCTGACCAACAGCACTCTTTTCCTAATAAAAACAACATTCTTCCCCTGGAATAGAAGGGATGTCGTTTAATAGTTGCAAAATATTCTCAGTGCATGGATAATAAATTCAAACCACATTTTTTGGAAGGCTTTGGACGTCTTTGGCTTTGGAAATGTACAAAGTTTTCTTGGTGATAGCAAATTTTCTTCAATTTAGCATGGAACTGTGGAAAACCACATTATATCAAAATCACACCAAAGATATTGCCAATTCCAGTTTTTTGAATATCCAACGATGAATCTTTCAAGGAAACTCACTGTCACTCCTTATGTTCTGTCTGTCCTTAATCATTTTACGGTAAATAGGAATTACAAATTAAAAAAGGTTTTAATCGATAAATGTCGACAAAAATATTGTAAATGTTTCATTGACATCGGTATGGATTTCGAATAAATGTCAAAATTAACATTCAACACACTCAATAGATTTAGATTTTGTCACAAAGATTAGAGAAGTGGGAAAAGAAGAAGCCTATACATAACTAGATGTCAACGAAGATTGAATGCAACATACCTAAAATGAAGGAGAAACTAAGAAAAGAATACTAGAGGCGTGTGCGTCTAGTGTTCAATACAAAGTTGAATTTTCAAAACAGAATATCAACCATAAACACTATGACTATTCCTGTGGTGAAATAGTTTCAACATCCTTAATAACTAATATTAAGGGAATGAATGTAAAAACGAGAAAGCTTCTCACTTGCTACCACATGCATCATCCTAACGCTAAAGTCAATAGTCCGTATGTGTCCAGATCCAATGGAGGTAGAGGATTAGTTCAACTAGAAATGTGTTACAAAACAACAACAATTGATCTTCAAAGATAACTGTAAACTAAAGAAGTCTGAGTGATGATCTGTGTCAAAGAACATGAAAGAAATAAGAAACTTTATTCAGTAATAAAGGAAGCCAACAAATTCAAAATGGAAATTCAAGTGGGTGAAGAAGTGCAAGTAAATCTCAATATACCTACTCGAACGGCAAAGAGCCGAAAAAAAAAAAGAAATCAAATATACCAATTGCAAAAACGATGTCAGGATAAGTCTCTTCATAGTCAATACTTTGTCCCTACCAAACAAGCTGATGTAGACAAACCCCTTAGCCATCATGTTTATCGTGTGCGGTGTTAAAAGCTGAAATCGAAGGTTTTATTCTTGCTGCACAGGACCAATGCTTGCTATTTAGAAATTACCAAGCATGCATACTGAAAGATTGTATTAACCCTAAATGCAGATTTTGTCATAAATATGCAGAAACAATTGACCATCTTGTATCAAGTTGCACAGTGTTAGCACCCATTGAATATAAAACTCGACAGGACAGAGTAGGGAAATATCTGCAGCTTAATATACGTAACTTTTACGGAACGGTAACTGCAAGAAACCAGTATGAACATACCCGATTATAGATATAAGACCTGTAACTAGTTTATGGGACTTTACAATACAAACAATCAGAACAATCAAAGCTAATTGCTCACACATCGTGATCAAAGACCACAAAAACATTGATACGGAAGTCCTTTCAGATTGTAATCTTTAAAGATCTTCGATAAGCTAACAAAATACCAGGATCTTGAAGTGTAAATGTAAAAAATTAAATATAAATTAATAAGTATTTTAGGTATGCGTCATATCTATAACTACAGAATGAAGTCTTCCTAACACTATGTATACTACGCCTCTCAAGACAGAAGGTCGAATCGAGCCAACCTTCTCAGCTTGACGGTTGAACTCTCTGCCTCTGAGCAGAGAGGAACCCGTACGAGGCTCAGCCGAAGGGCAGAGACTCATTCGGGGAGAATGACCAATCCGATCTCGTTTATACGGGTTATACGGGCATTTTTTGGCCGAGCCTACGGGCTCGGGAAACCCCCGTAAAAACTCGGCCTTGTGCCACATGCAACCCTCGTGGTGGGGGGGGGGCTAGATACCGAATCAAGCCGAGCTTCTCGGCTTGACGGTCGAACACTCTGCCTCTGAGCAGAGAGGAACCCGGACGAGGCTCCGCCATAGGGCAGAGTCTCGTTCGGGGAGGTTAGCCAACCCGATCCCGTTTATACGGGTTCTACGGGCATTTTTGGCCGAGCCTACGGGCTCAGGAAACCTACGTTAAACTCGGCCTTGTGCCACATGCAACCCTCGTGGTGGTGGGGGGGGGCTAGATATCGAGTCGAGCCGATAGTAGTTCACTCCAAACCAGCTTGACAGACATACTAACACCTTCCACATCTTGTATTATTATTTCCTGTAATATACCTTCCTTATTTCTACTCTTGTGTTCGTGTTGTTCATTCTTGGTCCTAACCTGGACCATAACAGTATGAAACTTGGAGTCATAAAGAAACGAGGTACAATAGATCCAGTTAATTCCAATTCAAAAATTCGTAACGATATTTTTTTAAATTTTAATCAGCTTTTGTGACTTTAAAATCATATTAAAAGTACGAAAGGCTGTTGAAATAAATAATAATAATAATAATTTGGAAGCATACTTCACAAAAACCAATGACGCTCTTTTACAAATAATAAAACACCAAATCGACTCCATCAAGAGAGAAGCTTTACTCTTCAAGGAACTGCTTAATATACCTGAAATCCAACCAACAAAATAAGCGAGTACTATCTGCACCAAAAGGGTAAAAGAGATTACAAAATAACTTGACCAAATTAAATTACAAAAAAAAAAAAAAAAAAAAAACTGTGAGGACAAGGAATAGCATGGCAAATACCAAAAAGAAAGAATCAGATGTAAGCCAACAGAAAATACGTCAATGGCTGAGGAGCACCGGGTTGAAAGCTAAGACAGAACGTCTAATTATTGCAGCTCAGGACTAAAGCCTCGCAGCCAGATCTTATTACTGTCACATAATCAAGTATAGAACTAACCCGAAATACAGGATCTCAAGCTGTTCGGAACTAGCAAAAAATGAATATACCCACAGACATAACAAGGTTGCAACAAATATGCACTCGGAGATATGCAATAAGCACAAAATCGAAACCACTGAGAGATGGTATGAGTGCCAACAGTTACCCAAAATAACGATGTAACTCTCCTCTGGGACATGCCAATTCAAACTGACAGGGAAATAAAAGCCAACAGACCTGATATTATCATAAAAGAAGCAATTCAGGAAGTGTTTGCTTATTGACATAGCAGTACCATCTGAGAGAAACACATCCATGAAAATTATCGAGAAATTGTCCAAATAAAAAGACCAGGAGATTGAGATTAACAGGATGTGGCGAGTGAAGACTGAGACTGTACCAATAGTAATTGGTGCTCTGAGACTTGAGAGAAAATGAAAGGACTATTTTACTGTATCCCATGTAACGTCAACATGCACGTTACCCAGAAAATTGCCCTGCTAGGCACATCCAATATACTAAAAAAGTGCTATTAATTAAATGACAATTCTTCTATAGGGCCTAAAGACCATAGTTTGGACCCGGCTCTACACGATACAAGACAGGAAATATAGCATATACAAATAATAATAATAATAATAATAATAATAATAATAATTTTTCTTTTTTTACAAAAATAATCAGTGGAAAATGTCATGAAGCCATTTCTGACTTTGAGACTTTTGTTAGAACTCCGAAGGAAATATGTATATAACAGAAATCAAAGCAAATAATAATAACAGGTAGTATTTTTTGTTTTCTATTTCATTGAAGCAGACTTTAAGCACATCAGAGTATTATCGACTCCTCTTTCTTCTTTTTCTTTCTTTCTTTCATTTTCTCTCGGAACCAAGTAACATCTCTGATATCTTTATTTCCGTCTTTCCTTGTGATCAAAACAAAATAGATTATTATTTATTAGGTATTGTCAGGGTCCCCTTGCGTGCTAGTGGCACTAACGCCTTGCTAGGGTGTCACCTACACACTAAGTAACTAAGGGACTAAGAAGAAGCAGAATAATAATAACAACAACTAACTGAAAACCTCAATGGACGCAGTTTTATTAATAAAATTATTTTTATGTAAGGGGGTACAAATGAAAAGATTTGAAATTGACAACTTTTTCCATTTCACTGAAACAGACGTTAAACACTTTTATCTTCTTTCTTTCTTTCCTTCTTTCTTTCTTTCTTTTTTCTTTTTTTCTTTATTTCTTTCTTTAGTTCGTTCCATCATTTTCTCTCTGATGTCAGTCCCGTGGTTTTACGCGCTTAAAACAGAATAGCCCATTATTTATGAGGTTTTGGCAGGGCGTAATGCT